AACTTGATTTTGTGAGTGTAGTTTGCTCGTGCAAATCTCTTAAGATGTTCTGAGGGATTTAAGCATGTTGCTGTGTGGTTGTTATAGCATTTTGGGTGAGAGCTGGGTGGTTGCTTGATGGCCCAAGACAAAAATAGTGGCCACTGCAGGTCTCAGTGGTAATGGAAAACCTATAGTTTATAAGTTTGACTGGCTGCATCCAAAATTGCATATTTTGATATAACATACATAATTGCTTATTCAAAAGCTGTACCAATTTGTGGTTTACATTGAAGTGGGTGTGTCTTTACCTGTAGCTCCTCCTCCTCTATCTTGTGTTTCTCCTGGGCTTCTTTGATCTGGAGCAGCAGCGCTTCATTCCTGTTTTTAAGAACATCCAGTTCTCTCTGTTTATTCTGAATCTGCAAACACACACAAGTTAAATTATAAGGCCGTACAGTTTGGTGTTTTTGTTAAAAAAAGAGGAAAAAGGTATTTTCCACACCTCTTTCTTATAAGCTGTGATTTCTTCTCTGACGCTCCTTGCTGTTTCCATGTGCCGCGATGTTGCGTTGTTTAGATCTTGGAACTTCGCTTTGTACCAAGCGTCCATCTCCTAGTGAACACCAGTTGGGAAAAACATGTGATCACCAAAGGTCAGTATCATGGTGAGGTTTATTTGCGGTCTGTCCTGATTACCTGCAGGTTTTGGGCGGCGATGCTGTCATATTGAGCCTGGATCTGTTTGAGTGCGGAGGCCAGATCGGGCAAAGCGAAGGCCACATCTACTTTAGCCACCGATCCATAAATTTGAGCCATCAACTCTTCGATTTCCTGACATACAGAAAATGTTGATTAAGAAGGCAATCAAACAATATCCTTTGTTGTTTCAATTATTACAATTAAACTTAGCAATCTGTACTGTGATAGAGATTTCATAATGATTTGTAAATGGTCTGAACCTTTTTGTGAATCCTTTGTAGGAACTCGAGCTCCACTTCAAGGTTTTCCAATCGTTTTTCCAAGGCAATTCGGGCAGACGTGGCTGCATCCACATCCTAGTATACAGAGGGAGTTTGAACCCCATCATTACATAAATCCAAGTATTGTTACACTTTCTGTATTAAGTTGGATCTCTTACCGGTCTGAAGGCCTCGATCTCAAGCTCCGCCTTCTTTCTGGCCTCAAGAGCCTCCTCGTATTTGACTTTCAGCATTTCCAGCTGACCTGCCATGGCATCCTTTGCTGCTACCGCCAGGTCCTACAAGGGCACAGAGGCAGTTATCATGGTGATCCTGGCTAGAGATGAGTGAGACTCATGGTGTACATGTGTAAGTGAGTAAGGCATAATCGCCCTGTGGTCCTCCATCTCTCACCCGCTGGACTTTCATCTGGTCTGCAATCCTCCTCAGCTCCCTCAGCTGCTCTTCATAGAGCAGTCTCAGGCCGGACGGCTTCACATAGTGACCCTTGATGGCATCAATTTCTGCCTCCAGCAGCTTGTTGCTCTGCTCCAGAGAACGAACCTGGAACAACCACACCAAAACTTACAGGGCTGTCCATAATGGTCCAAATGGGCACCATAAAGAAACCAACAGAGGTAAAGTGTCTTACCTTTTCGATGTATACAGCCAAGCGGTCGTTCAGGGCAACCATCTCCTTTCTCTCACCTGTGCGTGTGCTGAGGAAAGCCTGGTTCTCAGCAGCGGCAGCATCCAGATCCAATGCACCTCCTGCAACCCCCCAACCCCTGCCCAGACACAGCGTTCCCATACTAACACTGCTGTAGAGGAAACAAAACATACATTTACAACATTTATTATTTTGACATAGATTTGGTAACACTTTAGTTTAGGGTCCAATTCTCACTATTCACTAGTTGCTTGTACTAGGGGTATTTGTTTTAATGACCAAGCTCAATTAGGCCATCAAAATGTGAGAAAGCTATATTTTTAAATATTATAAGTTTGAGCGAAGAACAAAATACTAAACTTGTTTAGGGTATTTATCTGACAAAATTATTTGGCAAAAAAGCAAACTAAAGCAACAGGTTTTATTAAAAATGCAAAGGGGAAAAAAAGCTCACAAGAAAAAGCATTCATGACATAGCCTAATCTGTTAAAACAATTTTTTTTTTTTGTATTTTCTTTTGACTGCAAGCACAACTACACAATATGCTTTAACGAATTAAATTGTATTTGAATAAAAGGTGAAGATGTCTGTTTTCCTAGGCATCACTTGGCCACTACTGTGGCTTACCTGGTCATGCGTGATTTGCGCGATCCGGAGAGCGTCCTGCGCCCCATAGTGCCGCTCCGGTTGTAACTGGCGGAGCGGTGGCGCGCGGGCCCACGGGTGGGCGAAGGGCTGGACACCCGGACCTGGAGCGTGGAAGACGAGGTCAGGCCACCCTCAAAGTGTCGGCGGTAAGATGACATCCTTTCTGGGCTGTAACTCATGGTGAAGGTGATGGTCCTTGCGCGTCTCCAAAGATGCGACAGAAGCTTTCAGTCCGCACTCATTCATGAGGTAGCTTTATACCTGCAGTCTGGACGAGGAATGTCGAACCTTGGTCTGACATAGAGTCCATCTATCTCGGAACTATCTGACGGGCCACCGCGAAGAGTTTACCGCGGTAAAAATAGAGGAGCGAGCTTTCCTAATGAATCTGGCAAGCATGAGTCCCTTAATGACATTCTCTGCACTAAAACTGTCTAAAAGATTGTGACTTCATCAAGGAAATGCATGCTGATATAATTGGACTATCATGTTGCTGCAGATACTATAGACTATGTTCTGTAAACAAACAAACAAACACATTAATTACATTATTATTATTATTATTATTAAAATGGATCTATCTATCTATCTATCTATCTACCTATCTATCTATCTATCTATCTATCTATCTATCTATCTATCTATCTATCTATCTATCTATCTATCTATCTATCTATCTATCTATCTATCTATCTATCTATCTATCTATCTATCTATCTATCTATCTATCTATCCATCCATCCATCCATCCATCCATCCATCCATCCATCCATCCATCCATCCATCCATCCATCCATCCATCCATCCATCCATCCATCCATCCATCCATCCATCCATCCATCCATCCATCCATCCATCCATCCATCCATCCATCTATCTATCTATCTATCTATCTATCTATCTATCTATCTATATCTAGGCTATCTAGGCTAGCTATATCTTTCTATCAAAAAGTGAAGACATTATTTTTTACATTCAAATAGTTATCTGTCAGTTATACAGTTAATATTATTTATATGATATTATATATTTATATCATTTATTAGCTATAAATACTTATTATTTACAGTTTTTCTCAATTGCTTTGGCACATTTTTCGAAACAGTCTTAACATTCTCTAAACTGTGAGTGCAAATGTCACAACTGTTTGCAGGAACTTCAAAACTTTATAGCATGTCTGCAAAATGTAGTTACTCACCCAAAACATTTAATTCATGCTTCAAAACCTAGTTATTTTGTCAATAATTTGGCCAAGGCCACCAAAATCTAAAGTATTTTTGTCATTGTGTGAGCCACACTGGTCAAAATGTTTAGTTATTTTTTCACCATAAATCAAATTAAGGGTTTACTGTCTGTAATCATATTTGTTGAGAAAAGTCAATAGTATGTAGAAAAAAAAATTCTATGAACATTTGTATTTTTACAGTGTTTATTTTTGTACTTCATGTGTATACACAATACAAGTGTATTTACTGTACATGTAAAGTAACTGAAAAGAATAACAAGATTTCACATTACATCTCATATTTGTGTATTACCACAAATACACAAACAACAAATAACATTCATGGAAAAAAAAAGAAAAAGAAACAAATTATTCTTGGTGGACATCTTGTCGCACACGTTGGTCAGGCCAAAGATTTTCATCAACATCACATCTGATGTTACCATTGCCACACAACGTGGAAAAAATCTCCTTGAATGCCGCACCCATCCCCTGCAATGGTCAGATTTATGACATGATCCACAAGTGTGGCTCTGATTTCATCAGAGACTCTGACTCTTCTATTTCCACCTCTTCCTCGATTATTTCTTTCTCTACCACCACCACGTATTCTTACATGCCTTCCAATTGCTCTTCCATGAGCATGTTGCTGCAGTTCAGGGTTGTGAATGTCCTCCATTCTATATATACTCTATATACTCTAAATACTCTATATATATATATATATATATATACTCTAAATATATACTCTCTCTCTCTCTCTCTCTCTCTCTATATATATATATATATATATATATATTTATATGGTTGATTCATATTAGAGGTAATTTATAATTAGATTGCGAATGCAATTAGAAGTCATGTGCCAATTTAGCAAACATTACAAACAATGTCAATGTCAGATATATTTTAGAATATACATTCATGTATACTAATTATGATAATTGAATAGATCGTTTTGAATGTGATGGCTTACACAATAAAAAATGTCTGAGAAGTTCTGAAGTGTTTGACAGTGTAAGTGAGAATCAAATCATCAGTTTTGATCAACAAGCCATATACAATTATTTGTTGTCCAAACTGCAGACAGTTGTATGTACTCTTTGCACACATGTGCCAAAGCATTTGCAATTTTCTCAAATCAATAAGAAATTCCAATCTGATGTGAACAAGAAGCGAATTGTTCAGAGATATGAACTTAATGTTTTGGGAAATAAAAAAAACATTTGAGAACTGAGCCAAAGCAATTGAGAAAAACTGTAAAGCTGATGTCATATTTTTTATATGCACTTAGATTGTTATTAACTTTATTATATTATATTATATTATATTATATTATATTATATTATATTATATTATATTATATTATATTATATTATATTATATTATATTATATTAAGGCGTTTATTTACTAATAAACTCTCATATGTTTATTTGTAATAGAAGAAGCGCGCAGGAATCTATCCGGAACTGATGTGTAAGTTTGCTTCCTCCCGGACAGTTTTATTTTGCACATTCAAATTCTACGGAGTGTTTTTTGTGTCGCGCTCCTCGTCTGATCATATCAGAGCTTCGTTTCATTTAAACACAATTTAACATCACATTAAGGGTTATTTTCTACCTCAACCACCTCAAGATGGCAGGGAACTTCTGGCAGAGTTCACATTAGTAAGTAGAGATGTGTTGTATGACATAAATCGAGAGCATTAAGGTTTTTCTAGAGTGTTGCTGTTGCTGCGAAGCTGCAAGATAAATAAATACGATAAAATTCATGGATTTGGCTAATTAAAGATAATTATTTACCAAATCTCGGTAATTGCCATGATAAATAATAGACATTAGATTCAATGACTTTTATTGTTTGAACAGTATAAATCTCTGGATTATTAGCTTTAGCCGACTGGCTAGTGATTCTGAACTGAAGAAACCACAGAGGAATTTAATTTATGAATAATCTGGATAAATGTGTGTTATTCAATGCATGAGTTTCTTTTCATCCCTTTATTTGATATAAAAAAATGTTTATATGCTTATATGAAGTTTGTATATGATTGGTCTACATGTGTTCTTTGACATTAAGAGTGTATTAAATATAAACTGCAGTGTTGATTTGTTTGCTACTATTCATTAAGGATTTCTAAATTGAAAGTAATCAATGTTCTTGTTCTCGCCAGTCTGCAGTGGGTTCTGGACAAACAGGATCTGATGAAGGAGAGACAGAAAGATCTCAAGTTCCTCACAGAGGAGGAGTACTGGAAGCTACAGATATTTTTTGCCAATGGTTTGGAGATAAATTATATATAATCATCCTGTCTAACTGAAATGTAGAGTGAATATGGGCCTGTTCTGTATGTGGCTGCATTTACAGTCAGTACATGCAATAAGATATTCATGAATATATGTACAGAAATGTATGATTTGCTTAAAGAACTGTTACTGAACTGAACTGTTACTACAGCAGAGCAGAGCATTAATGTACATGTTCATGTGCTTTTAATACACACACACACACACACACACACACACATATATATATATATATATATATATATTATATATAAAATTCAAAGTATTGGGATAAACCTTGCTTTTAAAGAATTAACATAGTTTAATTTGTCATCTCATGGCAGTGATTCAAGCCTTGGGAGAACACTTGAAACTCAGGCAGCAGGTCATCGCCACAGCAACTGTCTACTTTAAGCGCTTCTATGCCAGGTGAGTGGGTCGTGGCCATCATTTCCTCCATACTGATTTATACTCATGATCTAGAATGATGGCTGTTCTGTTTTTAATAGATTGAAGAAAACTCTTGTCTTCTTTTCAGATACTCTCTGAAGAGCATAGACCCTGTGCTGATGGCCCCTACATGTGTATTCCTGGCCTCTAAAGTCGAGGTAAACACTGTCTCAATGTAGGAATTTCTTTTAAAAAATGGATCATGAACTTTGTTCAATGGAAATTCTTTCCTTGGCAGGAATTTGGTGTTGTTTCGAACACACGGCTTATTTCTGCAGCAACGTCTGTGTGTAAGTGATTTATATTTTTACGAATTCATCAAACTGCAGAAGAAATGTATAAATATTCTGAAGTAACTAGAAATTAGTATACAGTTCAGAAATTAATATACAGTGCAAATCAGCATTTAATGAAACTTTATTTTTAGCCATAATTTCCAAATTCATTCAGTTTTGGCTTGACTTGCCACCAAGGACGATAACTATAACGCCAACTATAAAGATATAGTTCTAAAAATCCACACCACATCTATAACCATAATGGCACTGAGAAATAATGTCATTGGAATCACTTTCAGAATATTTTTTTACTAGCTGATTAATGATAAAAACACTGACAGCCAATCAGAATCCACCCTGCTTTAAAGAGGCAGACGGCAAAACTGCAGCATGTGCTTATAATAAACAGAACAATATCATGCACTGGACAGCAATATAATAATTGTTCTTTACTCAATTAATCATTTCATACTAATATAATAGAATAGGTTTTTGGTGATTTATTTTCTCATTCTCTTTTTGTAACAGTGAAAACAAGGTTCTCTTATGCTTTTCCAAAGGAGTTTCCCTTCAGAATGAACCACGTGAGTCAAACTTCTGTGCTTTCCACAAAACTCACGAGACACTGATCTGATTCTGGCATGTAAGCGAGTGCGAGTTCCAGATGGCCTTGATATTGCAGTCCAAGTTATTTGTCTCTTACTGCGAATAGTTAATAGTTAACCCCTTAACTGTCACCGTCCCGGTACCGGGACGCCTAACTTTACTTCACTATATTTCTATTAAATCCTAATCTAATTATGACAAATTATATATTGTTGGAAAGGTCTAAGACTTCTAAATAGATATTCTACCCCTGTTTTTTGTTAAAAATTATGTAGGAAGAGTAATTGATGAATTTATGACAAGAGTGCACCTCAAAAAATCTGCATCATAACAGGAGTTTTGACCTTTGTCACAAAAAGTTGATGAACCCACTTTTAATCATTGAAACTTCTGTTTTTATGCTAAAAGTTCATAATAAACATATAATCTAGTATTTTTCAATAAAAAAAAAAAAATTATAGTACAATATTATCCTCTAAAAATGATATTTATATTTATTATCCTCTAAAATATAATATTATTTTTTATCGCCTTTTTTTATTATATCACATATTTTAGTAGTTATCATAAATTAGGTATCATTTGAAAGCTTATAAACTCAGAATTCATCGTGTGAAAATTTTTTATAATTGAAAGTTGCGTTACCATAGAAAAGGTACTTATTTTATCAGGCTCCTCCCCTTTTGGGCATCATTATATTTCATAATTTATGATCAAAACCTTTTCTAATCTTGACAAAACTGATATTGTCAGAAAGGTCTGAGTCTCAAGGTTCCAAATTTTGTGACAGAATTGATATTTGGACAGAAATGTATTAATTTGTTAAGGCAGAATATATACAATTAAATTCAATGGAATTTAATGGCACCCGGTGGCTATTTTTGGTACTACGCCTAAACAAAATCTCATGGGAACTTCAATTTTTGTGATATCAACTTCAAATTTGGAACATAACTTGATAAGATGTATGGCTTTGATTTTATAGAAATTTTAGAGTAATAAATATTTTATAAAATATATATTTTATATAAAATAAAAAATATATAGTACAGTATATTTAATTTACTGTAAATTTAAACTTCCATAACTTTTTCATACTTTCATTTTTTGAAGTGTTTTACTTCAGCAATATTCTGCTGAGTGTTTTCTTTAAAACGAGACCAAACTTGGGTATATATTCCAAAGTATTCTTAAATTACAACCATTTAAGTTTGAATAGTGCATTTTAACCCCCATTCTCAAAAAGGGGGGTGACAGCTAAGGGGTTAACTTCATGTACTACTTACTATGGGGTAAGGGATAAAATTAGGGTTTGGTTTAGGCCAGGGTTAGTTACATGCAATTCTGCATAAATTTTACATGTAACATAAAGTCTTACCAGAGTTAATCTGCTCCAGATCAAGATTTTGGAAATCTGACAGCACCACTAGATAACTAGATAATAACTTCTTGTAACTGTCGGATTCATATGATAGAAACGCTAGACAAGAGTCTGTGATTGTGTGTGTGGTGATGATTCGGCCTTCAGTATCACCAAGTATCTGACACCCAATCAGGAGTGACATTCCTCACACTCCCGACACCTTTGCAGGAAAGTCTCATCATGGTGATAAATGGTTTTGGCAGCTCATATCTCGGGCTGGTGATAAATGTTATTTGTTCAGCGTGCCCCCGGTCAGGTGTTGTAAGGGAAACATCTCGGCCGTATGGAGTGCTGGAGGAACATTTATGGATCATCGTAATGGGAAAGATGATAATTAGTCCATGTAACGTATTAGTGAGACAATTTCACAGTGAACTTATGCTTCTCTCTGTTTCTAGATCCTGGAATGTGAATTCTATTTACTGGAGCTCATGGTTGGTGTTTATTCTTCTTCTTCAGTAGGATGTTTAGATGTTTGTTCTCAGCCTGTGTTCATGGATCTTTGTTTTATTTTAGGACTGCTGTCTGATCGTGTACCACCCGTACAGGCCATTACTACAGTATGTACAGGACATGGGTCAGGAGGACATGCTGCTGCCACTGGCTTGGTGAGCAGTGTGTGTGTGGCTTCAGATGGCACGGCAAAACAAACAACCACAGTTTACTTCTCTTTATATGTTGCGTTAATGGTTTGTGAGATCCGCACGCTTTCTTTGACTTCTCTCGTTTTTGCTCATGTGCCAGTGATTACCCTGCATGCCAAACATTGCCGACCCCTGCTTTATACTGATAAGATTGGCTATACAAGATTCTTGCTTCTGTACGAAAAAGCTCCAAAAAGCTCTTTGGTTTCTGACCACCTTATTTTTTTAAAGTCATGAAATGAAAGTTGTGAGAGTCTTGTGATGTATATCCCAGTGAAACTGCTTCTCGAGCAAGAAAAAAAAAGAAAGTAGGGTGGATCTCATGTAAGTGACAGGTTGCCCCGCCCTATTGATTATAAAAAAATATTAAAAAAAAAATAGTCATGTGCACATAAATAATTTATAATAGATTGGCCTACTGCAATATTCCATAAAAAATCATGGTGACTAATGCATAGAGAGTGAAGCCATTTGTAGAATGTGTCACTTGCTTTCAGTTGTACAAAAACAGTCTGTTATGCTTCTTAATACTGAAAACTGCATTTTTTATCCCATTATTTTAATGTGTTGTAATCTGTTTGTAGTACAAATAGTTTTACAATTTGTTGATCTTTTAGTTGTTTACCTATATCAACTAAAGAATCGGAAGTCTTGCACATTCACAGAAAAGTTTACCACTTCTGTGTTGAGAAATATGCTGAATAAGTGAACATGAATGTCTGATGTGAAAGTTCTGTCTCTGTGTGTAGGAGGATAGTGAATGACACCTACAGGACGGACCTGTGTCTACTTTATCCACCGTTTATGATTGCACTTGGTAAGAAGAAACTTTCTACACCCAATCTGACAGGTCTTATGCTTAAGTTTTAGATTTAAATAGCTGACTTACAGATACTGTGTCCTTCCTTCTCCAGCCTGCCTGCATGTGGCATGTGTGGTACAGCAGAAAGATGCCAGGCAGTGGTTTGCTGAGCTGTCTGTTGACATGGAGAAGGTGAGACGCATTCAGCCGTCTTGCTGTGGATGTTATCCCCCTGTGAGTGTACATTAACATTGGAGCTTTTCTGCAACAGATCCTGGAGATCATCAGGGTAATACTGAAACTTTATGACCAGTGGAAGAACTTTGATGATAGAAAGGAAATGGCCGCTGTGCTCAACAAGGTGCCCAAACCCAAACCCCCTCCTAACAGGTACGACACACATGTATTTTTATTTATATGGAAATAGCATGGAATGTGTTTATTTATTTCACCAATGCAAAGAGAAATAGTGAAAGAGGTTGATTTCATTACTCTTTATTTGAAATGAGCTCATTCGCTAGATCTCCATAAGGTCTTTGCAACTCTTAAAGGTGCAGTACATGATATCTGAGAAATACTGTTTAAAGCGGATCGGGCCGAGCACCACAACACACTTGTGGTCAGTCAGCAGTAGGGAGTGTATACATTCATGATGGGGAGAGAGAGAAAGAGAGAGCAAGAGGGGATTTGATTTTTAAGCTCATTATTAATATTCTTTTATTACATCTTTTTCAATTACTTAAAATTATATAAAAATATATATTTTCTTATTTTTAGAAGAAAAGTGGAAAAGCCCTTTCTTAAGCATGTTTTATGTCATCTCACTCTTGAACTTGTATTTTCTTTATACAGTGAGACTGACCAGAGCTCAAACGGGAGTCAGAACAGCTCCTACAGTCAGTCCTAGAGCACCACCTGGTGAAGGACCTGAGGCAGAGTGATTTAGAGAGGCAAACACAGCACATTTCGGCACAGTTCAATGCTGCTTTTCACAAGCACATCGTTTTATGACCGTGGGGAAACAGTTTCCTGGCACACACGTCCTCTCTTTCCTCTTCTCTGGGTTCTTCCACCAATCAGAGCAGATAGAATGATGCCACCTCCTTCCTCCATCCAATCAGAGCAGCCCATGTCATTCTAGGAGCAGGAGGGAAGCAGGCTGCTCACTTATAGGAAATCTGCTTTGATTTAGAGTTTGTTGTCAGGCTTAAGGCTGTAGTGTTGAATGTTCTGGACACAAACACACACACAAACGCACCACAACATTTGATTAAGAGAGGTGCTGTTTTCCCGAATCTTGTAAGTCAAAGGTCCTGGGTTCCTTGAAAAGTCCCATGAAGCTTTCTTTTAATGGATGCTCTTTGGGAACAAAGAAAACTTGATCATTTTCTGTGTCTGAGAGTGATGAAGAGAGAGAAAGAGAGAGTGTGTGTGTGTTAATTACAAATGTATTTGTATGCGTGCCTCTCGTTGACCATGTCACAGTTTGTATTCCTCAGGGAAATGGATCAGTCCTCTCTACAAAGTGGCTGTCTGTAAACTGATTGGCCACAGGGCTATGTGACGGCGATCTTTTTGAACCCTCGTACTGTGTAATCAAATCCTGGTTTGGATACGTTTTCTTTGACATGCGTGTGGATGAGAGTTAGAATGCACAAGTGACACAGTTGAGTTGGTCCGAAAATGCATTTGTAAATGTGCTTTCCACATATAGCCCTTGACTTTTTAAAGTTATTTTTGTTTTATTATAAATTTACTATGATTAAGCTTTGTGTACTTGCCATTACCCAAATGCTTGTTTTAAATTGATGTCTCTAGGTGCAGTATTCATCAAGTTTAATGGAGGACAAGCCAATATCTTGAGGGTTTTGGATAGAAATGTGTTAAATAATGGAGGCAGTGAAGATCTCCATCTCGGGTGTGGTTCCAATCATAAGCATCACATTTGTTTGGGACTCTTAACTATTTGCGGAAAGACCTTCAAAAGATTACAATAAGTTTATGTTTTGCTATGTTCTGAGTGGCATTTGTTTTTTTGCTGTGTCTCTCACTGTGGTCATATGTTTAACAGTGCTTCAGGAGTGTTGCCACATCTTTGAGCATAAATGAGGCACTGTGTATGTTTTATTTGCCTGTAAATATATTTGATGATTTGAGAACTGTAAGGGTGAGAGGGCTTGGAGTATAATCTCATTTTTTCCCCCTTGTTTGTCTATAACAGAGCTCAGAAGCCTTATTAAATAAAGCTGCTGTTAAAAATAGTCTGATTTTTTTTTAGGTTCAGAGAAAAAAAAATGTTTTTTTTATTTGATTTGTCCTACCAAATGCTCTTAATTTTGAATGAATGCTTTGTTTTATCACTTAAAATAAATACACACACACATACATTATTTAATCTCCCGGGAGCTGTCATGACAGAACTACAGCATATAATATATAAAACTGAGGTTAGTGTATAATTTTCTTGTAAATAATGCAGTTACTATGATATTTTGTTATATAGTGCAATGACATCATTAAGGTATTTGAGCCACTGCATGCATTCACTTTTTATTAGACATTCATGTGTTTCTATTCATGTGTCATTATGTGTAAATAGAACATAATCATCCCTTCTAATCTGTGGGGTAAGTTGTAAAGCTACTTTATCCACTATTTCTTGTAGAAAAGAAATTTAAGCATCTGTATATTACTGACATATGATTTAGTGTTATAAGCTATTACGAAATTGTTGTTATCAAACTATCTGATTACGGCAGTAGAGCTGACCAATAAGAGTGGAGAGTTCGAGAATCCGCGCGCCCCCTCGCAGCATCAGCAGCCCCGCCCCTGGTGACGCAACGCGCTCAGCTGTGCGGTAAACAGCGGCGGCGAGCGGCTGCGGACTGATGTCGACCCCGTCGCGGGGACTGACGGACAGCTTCAGGAGGAGACATGCCCGCTGCTGCTGCTCCTCACCCGCTCTCTGACACCCTCATCTTCTTCACCTCCACCCTGCGGCACCGATGAAGCCTCCCCTGTCGAACCCACAGCGGGCCGAAGGGCGGATAGAGGAGAGAGAGGATGTACTGGCGCGTCGGGTTCGCCTGGAGCCGCTCATGCGCGCTTGAACTGGGCCGGAACAAGAGCTTCTCGCTCGGGTTGTGCGGCTCCGAGGAGCCCTTTTCGTTGTATGGGTACATCATCGCCTACCCGCTGCAGGAGTACGGAGGGATCATGTCTGCGTTAGGATCCGACTCCTGGTGGAGGAAAACGCTCTACATCACCGGGGGCGCGCTGCTCGCCGCCGCTGCATATTTACTACACGAGCTGCTTGTCATTAGGTATTATGAAAGATTTTCAGATTCTATCTATCTATCTATCTATCTATCTATCTATCTATCTATCTATCTATCTATCTATCTATCTATCTATCTATCTATCTATCTATCATCTATCTCGTTGTTATTATTTCACCTACAAACCTCTACATTAGTAGATTATTAAGGGAATTATGACATATCATGTTATTATCAGGTCTTGTTATGGCACTTGGATTGAGTAGTAACTAAAATAGTTACTAAATTAATATCCTGGACAAGTCAACACAGTCCAGTGCAGTCCATTCATTCCTTCTCTGTGGAAGGATGAATGAATACCTGCCAACCCAAGGAATTATGAGCAGGATGCAATAATAGGATGCTATTTATTTCCTCGTCTAAAGCATGAATGTTGACATGTTGATGAGTGCTATTTCAAGGGCACGGTTGCAGGCCTAGAGGATAATGTCTACTTGTGTTATTGTAAAGTGACAGAATGACCTTTACTGACCCCTTGTGAGACTGTGTAAATAGTGACCCGTCATTAAAATGATCAGACATAGCGAATTGGGTTTAATTCTGTGCTTTTGCTTCCTCTATGACCCTTTTGCAGAAATGGCAGTGCTGTTAGTCCTCAGCAAAACATCTCAGGTTACATGTTATTCGGCTTACATAAGCTATTGATTCAGACATGCGTTAAACAAATATAATAACATATGATTAATTGTTTTAAGATTCAATAAATAAGAACAAACCTCAAGAGAGGAAGTTAATGACTAGTATGATGCTTCAATGCATTTCAGCACTAGCAAAGTGGACAGCGACTGAATCCTGCTGATAGAAAACACTGGAGAATGAACTAGAACTTGATGTTTCTGGTGCAATTTGAAACAAAATTGATCATTTAGGGATTTGATGAACTTATTTTAAACATTATAAATAATAGTTTTAATACACGTGTCATTCATTTCTGATGCTCTTCTATATTTACGTTTACTTTTTATCCAAAGTGACTTACAAAACAAGAACAAAGCAATTAATCAAGGGCCAACAATCGCTGTAGTACACAATGCCTGGTTTATTAGACAACTAGATTAGGAAGCCAGCTAAGGAAGAGAAGAAACACAGATTTTGTGTGTGTGTAAGTGCATTAATTTGATGCCCTGCAGGAAGGACCAGGAGTTGGACTCTGAGGACTCCATCATTCTGCATCAGTTTGCCCGACCCAAAACTGGAGTCCCTAGCCTGTCCCCCTTCTGCCTGAAGATAGAAACCTACCTGCGCATGGCGGACCTTCCCTACCAGGTAACAAAATATGATGTCTGAGATTATGTTCTAAAAAGAGATGGACGTTTTGGTGTTTTACAAACTGTTTTCTCCTCAGAACTATTTCGATGGGAAGTTGTCTCCTCAAGGGAAGATGCCTTGGATCGCGTATAATAAGGAGCAGGTGTGCGGGACGGAGTTCATCATCGACTTCCTGGAGGAGAAGCTTGGTGTGAACCTCAACTCCAGCCTGAGTCCTCAGGAGAAAGCCATCTCACGTGCCATCACCAAAATGGTGGAGGAACACTTTTACTGGTGAGACTGAGCTGGTTTTCCTCCACATCATGGTCTAGTATGGTCAATTCTTCATTATATTCCGGACAGAGGTCAGGTACCTTTCATAATATAGGTGAACTTCAACATTAACTATTTAACCCTCTTAAAGTATGAGATAGTGAGAATATGGAGGTCATATTTGAGGAGGAAAAACACCTCAGCCAAAATTGTGCAAAAATATGCTGATGTTATGTATATCGCAAAAGCTTGTAGATGGAAATCTAAATATGTGAGTCTATATATCACTCTATATATGTCTAAGATGATATGTTATGCTTAGTTTTATGATCAAATCTGTTTGTTTTTTTCATTGTGCGGTCAAAACATGTAATGCAACGTAATACAAATATTCAAATATATATACAATGAATTTACAAATATGTTTGAGGGATATACAAATAAACATTCCTCAAAGGCCTTATGTAAAATATTTGATTCTCACATTTTAATATGATTTTTTTAAACCTACGTTGCTTCAATCCAGATGAATTGAAATATTAATAACAAACAATATTGAAGTTATACTTAATTTTACTTTATAAAATCAGTACGGAGTTCACTGCAAAAAGACACATGTACCATGACACTATCAATCAGACAAGGCAGGTTTTTCAGTATTATTCTGATCATGTTGATAATTCAAGGGCCTTAGAAATTTGTGTATCAAATATGATACAGTGAGTAAGATTTTGGTTACTGTGTTGATAATCAAGATGAGATAATGTGCTTTGCTTTAGGACGATAGCATACTGTCAATGGGTGGACAATGTGGAGGAGACGCAGAAGATGTTAGCCACAAACGGGCCGCTGAGTGACATGCTCAGGTGGATCTTGAGTCAGGTGAACGGTGGCATCGTGAAGAGAGAGATGTACGGCCACGGGATCGGACGCTTCTCCAAAGAGGAAGTTTACACTTTGATGGAGACAGACATGCGCACCCTTGCCACACTCCTTGGTACGTTTTCAATGTCTGAGGCACGGTTAGTGAGCTTTATTGAAAGGATTTAGGGTATTTTTAGTGATTTAGTCAAGATCCTTTTAGATCTGAGATTGGCAAACTCAGTCCTGGAGAGGTTAGCTCAAACCTGATAAAAACTCGAATGCCTTTTAGGAATCCTATAGACATTTATTAGCTTGTTCTGGTGTGTTTGATGATAAGGGTTGGAGCAAAACTCTGCGGGACAGTGACTCTCCAGGATCGAATTTGCCCATCCTTGTTCTAGATCATTGTGGAAATTTCAGAGCTTGTGTAACAAGTTACAAAATAATGCAGCAATGTATCTGTGCTGCCCTCTAGTGCTCAGTAAGCTGAAGGTTTCCTTTCTTATTTAGTATTTTTGTCTTGTTCTCCAGTACAAACATCTAAACACTCCTAAATCAAGATACATTAACTTGAGAATCATTTAAGATGGTAATTCAAAGTGAAAGCTAGATTATTTTTATCACCCCATTGAGATTTCACTCACATCATTTTGTTAATTTGTTCATAATACAAGACTTAATATCTCTAAAATAATTTAATGATAATTTAATTATGTAAGAAATTTGAGCTATTTTGAATGTAAAACAAGACAAAAACAATTTTTTGTAATTGCATAACCCATAAACCAGATCATACATGGTTATACTTTATTAATAATAATATTAATCAACTACATGTACTTACTATAGAGTTGCAGTTAGGGTTAGGGTTTGGTTTAGTTATTTCTATTCATGCATAATTTACAGTTTTTGTAGTTTACACAGAAATGATAACGGTGTCATTTTCAAAAACGTGGACTTTGAAAGTCTTTTTGGCAAAGTTTGTGTTTTCAAGCCCACAAACATTGTTTTCGTGTAAGTGAACGGCCAAAACACATAAAAAGTATTTATGTAAACGTCCCTAAAAACATAAAAATCATTTTTTTTTTCCCATTGAAGATATGATTCAGTTTAATAATAATTTCTTTCACAGGCAATAAAAAGTATCTAATGGGCCCGAAGGTTTCCACAGTAGATGCTGCTGTATTTGGCCATCTTGCTCAGGCCATGTGGACTCTCCCTGGAACACGTCCGGAACAGTTAATCAAAGGTGAGGTCAATAGGTCATGCTTTTTTTAAAATGGGAATACCATCATATAAACATTCATGAACTGACTAAAGCTGCTCCCTTGGCACAGGTGAGTTCATCAATCTGGCCATGTACTGTGAGCGAATCCGCCGGAAATTCTGGCCGGAGTGGTTTGTGGATGTTGATGACCTTTACTACGACGGACTGAGCGAGGAGCCGGATTCTCCTTCCCAGCTTCCGGATTTGGGTCTCCACTCACGCAGCGACAGCTTCCAGGAGCACGACAGCACTCTGTCACACCACAACACGCCGTCGCCGGACAGTGACATCACCGGACGCTCTCTGTTCGATTCTGACATGGACACAGAATGCTCGGAAACGGAGCAGTTAAAGTGATAACCACACTCCCTCTGTGATGTATCTGCACGGGCCCCGCCCCCTTTGTTCTCCTGCTAGCCCTTTATCAGGGGAAGGGCTGATCAAATGAAGATGTTATCATGGTGACATGGCAACTCTGAGCGAGGGATTGCAATAAAGAAGATGGGAAAAGAATTCCTACAATTTTTATTTGACGAAAGAGGATTCTATTAAAATGAGGAAAGGGCAGGCCAGGCCAGAGAGAATCCAGGAAGAAAAAACATCAAACTAAATAATAAGTGGATTGAGTGAAAGTTTAAAGGAGTGAATGATGCTTCAGCGGAATCACTCCTCCCACCGTGTGACATTGCTCGGAATCATCAGAATGACATCATCACATGTGACCACTTCCCATTTACAATGTGTGTTTGTAGCTAGTTAGCATTTCTTACATACTGGGATTTATTATTAGTCAGAGAGAAATAAGGATGATTGAAATGTGTAGATAATTATTACGTGATATGATAAATATATCACAATATTTCATAGTCCATCTAAAATTAATTTCCAGTTTTATTCAGAAAATGCAGAGGGAGTAAACTTATGGATGACACCAGAAATCAGCTGATGTTTTGTATGTTCTCGAACCGTTGCAGCAATCTTGCAAAGCATTAGTGAATAATTCACCCAAAAAAGGAGAATTATGAAATTTAGATATTCAAAATGGAAACATATAGTGAGCAGGGTCAGTAAAAAAAAAAGGTTTAGTGTAGCTTTATGTGAGGGACAGATTAGATATTCCCCTTCATTTGTTAGTGCATATTTAAAGTCATCATGAAATCAAATTTGACAATTCTCTTTTCTTTTTTTCTGGAATATTTCAGTATATTGCTGAATAGTTCACATCATTACTTTTTTTTTTCCAATTCATGTTCCCTTGTAATCTTTTTTATCAAAATCACTTATATTTTATTTTCTATATTTTCTTCAGATATAGCCTACTTCAAAAACAGATGGGGGAATCTAATGGGGCAATATAGGGAAAAAGGGAAACGAAAGGGAAAACAGACGATCACAACTTCTCAATTGGATTTATGCACAGCTGCACTACTTCCTGAACTTCAGCCAGCTCCTTTGTTTCCTGTCTGCCATTATTGGACACACTGATTCATCCAGGTGTGCCTGACCTCAGTAGTCACAAAACCAATAATCAGACACACCTGGATTATGGCAGACAGGAAACAAAGGAGCTGGCTGAAGTTCAGGTAAGAGTGCAGCTGTGCATAAAGCCAATTATGTTAACTTCAAGGTGCACATGACACGATGTTAAACCATAGTGTTAAATATCAGTGACGTCAAATGCCATTGTCTGAAATTGGCAGCTACACAGATTATTTGGTTTTTGGGTGAATTATTCATAGCCCATAGGAACAAATAGCCTACGGTAAATATAAAATTGATCAAATTTATACAATTGGGGTTCCAGGTCTGTTTCCATTTACAAAAAAAAAAAAAAGTAAATGTAATGCAATTTTGAAGTTTATCATATGAACAATCTGTAAAACACGTCTCAAAGCATCTTGTCGGAGAAAGAGCATGAGATGACGGATATATCATATCAATGTCGGTTATGAGGATTTGATTTTATTGTTGACGTTTTATTCGATTTATTTTCAATATCCGAATGTTACCGAGAAGGCAAAAAAACAAAACAAAAAAACTTGTCGATAATAATCTGAATATGTGATGGACTCTCATTCGAAGGCATACAGGCCTACAAAAGACCTAAACCGGAAGCTGAATACGGAAGTTTGTTGCGTAGCACAACCCTATTGAAATTTGTATCATGCAACCGTCATATATGTATGCGCAGCTGTGCTAAATGTAGGCAAAAACATAATTAGTGTTTGTCGAACAGCAAACACTTCGGATGGGTATCTGTGATTGTGCAATAGCGCCTCCTGTTGTCATAGATCACATTGACATGACAGAAAACACCTCGGTAATGCAGGAACATAACACAATACAGATGGAGACAGACAGCTGATGCCTGTGTGTGTGTGTGTGTGTGTGTGTGTGTGGGTGTCCATCTGCTGCACAACTGAGTCATCGTTACACATGAACACACTCGCAGGAATGATCTCCCAGGGGCTGGTCCACACCAAATGACACATGCAAGACAGGAGACTTGTGTTTTTGTCTGTTCCGTGGAGAGATATAATCAGTATCTTGCTGTGCCATATACACACAACATTCCGGTTACCACAACGTAATTCTGCATTAAGCTGTCTATCGAGCTATTGTACGAAAGAAAGTGTCTCCCCATTTTTACGCCCTTTAAATGCAGATGCAGGCTTATCTGATGTTTGTTCAATCAAAACAAATTCGCCAAAATTACTAGGAAATGATAATGAAAAATCAATATTATACAAACATCAGGATAGGTTCATTAACTGGTGCTTTATTAGAAAAATGCTATTGTTTGAAAAGGTACAATGCCATTATTATTTTTTTAAGTGCATAAAATAGGCAGGCAGTCTGATTAAAACAATCATATTCTTTCTTATGGTATTTGTTTGCTTATTTGAATTTTTTTATTGATTCTTGACTGTGCCTGTTTCTACAAACAAACAATTACTATATTTTTATATTTTTTCATGAACCATTTTTTTTATTTATCACTTATGATTTAGTTTATATTTTGAAGAACTTATTCTTGACTTTTAATGAGTTTCATATTTTTTGTGTGTTTGTGAATATAGTTGTTTTAGTTGCAAAGATTTGCTCTGAGAGCTGTAGCCTATATTTTATGTTTGATTATATTGAAAGAATTTCTAATTCAGTTTCAAATACAAGTGCTTCCTTGTTGAGCTTTATTTTCTAGCCAGTTTTCTCATCCATACATGATAATCTTGTTATTTATCATGTTATTTTAAGACTCACGACCCAATATGCCAAATGTGATGGAAAATTATGGCAACACACAGATGGAATAATGTTAGAAAGGCAAAGGTAAAAAATTCAAATCTCTCATATGTTTTCTTTGTGTGTGCTGATTTCAGAGCCATACTGACTGAGTCTGTGTTGTGTTTATCATGACCCTGTGGATTTATGCTTTTATTATGGGATAGACATAATATTAGGGAGGGAGGGGTTGTGTACATGAATGATCACTGTAACATAAGGAACCAAAATTGTCTGGCGAATATGTTAAAGATACTCAAAATATTTCATGAAATATAGCTGTATTAAAGGAAACGATCCTGGTTGTATGATTGGTTTCTGATTACAATCCATTCTTTAAATCTTCTTTTCTGATACGTATTATTTACAAGGTTTTAAAACTCTAATGTCTTTCCTTAAGCACAAAGCACTATTTAATTCACATTAATTAATAGAGTGTGGCACAAATGGGGGGATGCTTATTAATGAAATTAAAGCTAATTATAAATTATACACTTCATTATATTTGTTCTGGTTTAATAGTTTTATTTGATTATTTATTTATTTCAGTTTATTCAGCTATTGATATTTTAGATTGAGTTGCTGATCTGTAGACCTGTTACACATATCAAGTGATGTTTATTTTTTTGCTCTGGTTTACACTCAGAAATTTTGAAGTGCCACCATATAGTACAAGAACTTTCCAACACTAAGAACTTTTTCTCAAACACAACCTTGTCATAAAAAACCTATGGCCACTTTCAAATTTATCTGCAACCAATATACATTTTCTTAAAGGGATAGTTCACATAAAAAAAATCTAATTTCTAATTTTTTGACCCTCAAGCTGTTCTAAACTTGTATTTGTTTCTTTGTTCTGTTGAACAGAAAAGCAGACATTTTTAAGAATGTTGGTAACCAAACAGTTGTTGGTCCCCATTGACTTCCATAGTAAAATACTTCAATACTTCAATACGTTTGATTACAAACATTCTGTGTCCAACAAAAGACAAAAACTCATGCAGGTTTAGAACAACTTGAGGGTGAGTAAATGATGATACAATTTTTATTTTTGGACGAACTTTTGGATCCCTTTAAGACTTGCTGGGCTTTAGAATGTTATAACCGTACAAATCTTCTTATAGGCCTACAATCTGCACTGACAACACACAGGCAAGATGAGTGACTACCGGTATATTTACACCGACAAGTTCATATTCGACGAATTTATTCCTGTATCTTTGACTAAACAGACCAAGAAAACTGTAACGTCTCTATTTTACTAAGAGTTTCTCCAACACATTTAGTCAGTAGATGGCGCTCACAGCACATAGTCTCCAACAGACAGGACACACGAACACAAACACTGCACGCTTACTTATCTAAATGGGTATTTTTGGGCACATTGCAGGTTTATTGTTTTTAAATGCAGCTACTTCTATATTATATATTATAATATATTATATATAGGCCTATATTTAGGCTAACAATAACCAACACACTAACCCTAACCCTAAAATGTTCTATATTTTTGCAATAAAACAACTATTTAATTGATTTTATAGGAATGAGGACGTCCCCAAAATTAGGTCTTGGGAGTTTTTGTCAGATTTAGCTCATTTAGAGTAGGCCTACAAATTTGTGCCCAGACTGTTGTTGAGTAGCCTAGGTACACACACAAATGCGGGTTTTTCAAGGCAGTCGAAATTTCCAAGGCCTTGCCCTTGAGCTTATATTTTGGTCGTTTTCCTAAAATTGTTCATTGATGAAGCAGTAAATTATATATTTGGAAAGACTCTGAGAGACTAAAACAATATAATGCATTTGTTATCGTTTAAAAGCTATTAGTCTATATATCACGAATGTTCTATTAGTAGTGTGATATTTTGTTTACATTTACATTATAAAGCCATTTTGGGTGATTTGGAATATAAAAAAAGGAGTCCTATTTAGATCCAGAATTGCATGATAAAATATTCACACACGTTTCCGTTCTCTCGTTTTAACCCGTCTTCTAATCCGTCTTCATTACGAGTGGATGGCAAACATTTGGCTCCATGGTCACGTAGAAATCGAAGCGAATGAATTGCAACGGGCTGCAATGGATCTACAGCATCATTCCATCCCGAGGCGACGTTATATTCAACAGCCTTGATGCTCACATAATGTGTGAAATTGTGAATCCATTTATCTTGAGGATCTTCATTCACGGGGCATAGATTGACGAGAGGCACTTCTTTATATAAAAATGTATTCATTTAATGACAAAAGCCTTTTAAAAACTGTGCAATTTTTCTGTCAAAACCAAAGACGTTACTGGCCTCAATAGGGCGCACTGACAGCTTGTGCTTTGGCAGTGCCAGGTTAAGTGCACAAATATACAAGTATTCACATAGCCATAGAAAATTAAAAATCCACGCACAATGTCCTTTTTTTTCGATGCAGGCCATCAAATAATTGTAACACAGCTGGTGTAGTATTTCTCGTAAAAAAAGATAGATAAATTTGGGATAAACAAGAAACACAAAATATCAAACAGATACAAACATGTTGAGGCTTATACATTTAGCTGACGCACAAAATCACACAATGTTACTATAGTAAAAATTGGGCAAGAAACACTGGCCTCGCGTTATTATTATTATTATCATTATTATTATCATCATCACTCTTATTATATTGTTCTTTGCGTTGTTTTTAAATAGCCTATTGACATAGTATATACGCCATGAGCGTTTAAAGACAAATTAATTAAATGAAATTAAAGCTGGTTTGTTTTTATTTGTAATATGAAATTTCACAATAATACGATTCTATTTGGCTTTTTTGGATTTTTTTTTTATTAGAAAAAAAAAGAGTTTTAAAAATAAGGGAAGAAAATAAACCACTGTCTCAAATCATGGACGCTTTTGGTGGATGCTTATTCAATCAAAATGTTAAGGACAACCCAATTGAGTGATTAATTACAAAGAGCTTATCATTTGATTTGATAACATAGCTACATTTCGAAGTGATCCACAGCACTGTGTGATTGTGAGGAAAGGTTTGAACGTTTCCTCAGGCCTGTGTTTTGCAGCAGCAGTGTGAATCCGTGATCTGCATGAAATCAGCCCTGCTCTGCCAGTGAACAACACAGCAGCAGCACTTGGCAGCCTTTGTTGTGACCGAAATGAGATTTTTTGAGAATTGATCACATTTACAGTGATACTTTTACATTTGTTAATATGTACATAATATGTACATACTGTAAATAACAACAATATAAAATATTATTATAATTATTGTTGTTGTTTTGTGTATTAGTAGGCTATTTGGATCATATACGTAAAATATAAATCATATATTTGGATTTATATTTTATTTATGGTAAATAATTTAGAGCTATTTAGCCTATTATTAGTAGTATTGCCATTTACATCAGAAGTTAAATTAAAAGCAGACAAATTTATTAAACAGTGATCATGATGGGAGATATTATAATATATAATAATAATAATAAAGCATTTGCCATTAATATTTGTATGAGAATGAATAGCAGACATTGAACCGGATTCATTTCAATCAGGAATAAACCTTTTTGTGGTCAAGATGGCGTGCCCCTGACGCCTTTTTCACAGCTTTCGGTTGGAAGTGATATGATGCTTTCACAGATCCCCGGACTTGAAAATAAATCTCTTAAATAAAAGTATGTTTACGTTCCCTCTTCAGGTTCGTCGCGCCTCGGTTTTTGCCAGAGCGTGTTTTCTCGCGCCCGTGCCCGTAGATTGTTCGCGCAACCACGCGCGCTCCGCGCCCTCGGAGGTGCCACACACAGAGACGCTTCATCACCGTCGGTCCGCCCCGAACGGGCTTGTGGCCGGGACAAAGAGACAGTCGATTATGTTCAAGCCGCCCCTTTCTCACGGAACAGGTGTCTGCGCCCCGTGGTGAGGCGAGGCGTCCCCGTACACATCCTCGTTCCCGGCCATCGGTCCGTTTTGGGGCGTCATGCGCTTCTCCTTCTGCCGCCGGTTGCAGAACCAGACCCGCACCACTTCCTTCTCTAGCTGCAGGCTGTCCGCCAGCGAGGTGATCTCCACCGCCCCGGGTTTCGGGCACTTGAGGAAATGGCTCTCCAGGGCCCCTTTGACACTCACCTCGATCGAGGTCCGCTTTTTCCTCTTCCTCCCCTGCGCGGCGATCTTGTCCAGGCTGGTCGGGCTTCCCGAGGTGGAGTCCGCCTCCTCCAGCCATTTGTTGAGCAGGGGCTTGAGTTTGCACATGTTCTTGAAGCTCAGTTGGAGCGCCTCGAACCTGCATATTGTGGTCTGGGAGAAGACGTTGCCGTAGAGGGTGCCTAGAGCGAGCCCCACGTCCGCCTGCGTGAAGCCCAGCTTGATCCGGCGCTGCTTGAACTGCTTGGCGAACTGCTCCAGGTCGTCCGAGGTCGGCGTGTCCTCGTCCGAGTGCAGGCTCTGCGGGTGGCCGTGCTCGCTCAGATGCGGGCTGTGGTGGTCCTCGTGGTGCATCCCCGGCTCGCCGTAGCCGGGCTGAGAGTAGATCAGGCTTTGCCCGTTGGAGGTGCTCATGCTCGGCATATGCGCGGTGGTGGTGGCGCGCCAAGCGCCCGCCTCGTGATGCTGGCTCTGCTGCACCAGATGCGCTTGTCTTGGCGAATGCTGCAGCTCCTCCACCGGCTTAATGTCCTGCTCACCCAGCGGGCTGGCGGGCCACGGCGACCCCTCTCCCCCGTGAGACAGCGCCGCCGTCAGCCACTGGTGCGCGTGGCCGAGCGTGCTCCCGCTGCTCTGCAGAGTGGTGTACTCGCTCTGCAGAAGGCTGTGCGCGTCCCTGTAGGCCGGCGGCGGCGTCTGCTGCATGCTGCCGGGCTCCGAGCTGGACAGGATGCTGTAGTGGTTGGACGCCGCGGTCGCCATAGTTTCTACAGCTACTCTGTGCCACAGGCGGCTCCCCAGCGCGCCAGAGCCGCGAAGACGCAGAGGCGCGCACCTGAGATCCGCCTCGCGCTGCTGTCTATTGGTCAGGACGGCTTGACAGATGTGGCAGCGGCGCGTTCATTGGTCGCAGTAGATTCGACACAGAACCCGCATCCCATTGCGCTCTCCTGAAAACAAGCACAGAGGGATCAGCAGTGACAGGGGCGCAGTGGGCGCAATGGGCTCCAAAGGTATCCAGCCTGGCTTTCATTAAGTTTTTCATTAAGTTTAGCCTAAATGTTTCAGTTCAAAATTATTATGATGCTGCAAGGTAATTATTGTGCTGATATTTATAGGATAGTCATGCAATAGAACAAAAGAATTAATTCTGTTAGCAATTCGTTATTATTGGCTATTGTTTGAGTGTTTTGTAAAAAAAAGGACTAAATGTTTTTCTTTTTAAATGAACCGTGAAAACTAGCGTATTACAGTCGATATATTGAGTGTATGTCAAATAAAACCAATAAAAAGACAACATACAACGGCGCGTGTTTTATGTATTAATATCTTATATTTAATTAAAATAGGTGGATAAAAACAAAATGCTTTTCAAAAATGAATAAACATACATTCTAGTGCATATTTCATATCGAAAAAAACTAAGACACAATAATGCACAGAATTAATAAATGTTGCATGCCCTGCACTTTAAAATATCGTCATCATCCCATCTTTTTAACTTCTATCTAATGTAATTTGTGTTTGTGAGATTTAATTTTTTTTTTTTTCATCAGTAATGAATTCAAAATGGTTGACAAGTGCAGTGAGGTTTAACTTAAAAAAAACCCCTTAAACATAAAAATTGAATGCAATAATTAACTGAAGGTTTTAAGGTAAAGTTCCCATAGTTTTGGGAGCAACCAAATCATCTCAATAAAGTTACATAGTTAAATGCTTACAGTAGCCTACATATAGAGATATGAGAATTAATAATTATTCAGGAACGTATAGACAAATCATATACTAATAATTAGGCTACATTTGTTTTATATTTGAGTTGTTTGCATTTTATTTTCATGTTGAAATAACGGCACTCAATGTTCTGATGGGATTTCATAGTCTCTCACATGGCTCAAGGAGGGGACATATTTTCGGGCCCCTGTCCGTTGCCATGGCGAGAGGTGAATGAAACAACGCCGCCCACGTCACAGCTGCTCGAGCCTTTTCTCTCTCTCTCTCCTCGCGCACATAAAGCCCATTTCAAAGCCTGAAAAGCGCATGCAGGGCATCGCAGGGCCGCAGGGCCAGTGAGAGGTGAATGGCGGACCATACCTCCACCCCAGCCACAGCCTTTTGTAAACAAAACAGCCTTTTGCACCCACACACACTTCTCTGGACACGTTTTTTGCACCCTCTTGTAATGCATCATAAGCCTCTGCAGTGTAACCAACAAAACGAAACAAAACATGATCGTCCATTAATTTTTTGTGAGTGCAAATAGCCAAATGCTCAGGAGTTTGGGTGAAATGCAAAAAGCGGTCGTGTTAATTGAGTTGTAATTTTAAGATTCAGAATCTTTAACACAGTCGTGCACGGCCAAGCAGAAAATACATTAGCTTAATAAATTAATATGCAAACTATGGGCTGTTCAATTACACATCCTAACGCACAAATGATGCTAGAACCGTTAAAGGGACGAAAAGGCCCAGCGTTTACTAAGTTATCACTGTGCTTGCTTCTCCAGCTCGGTGTTCGAGAGAATTAATGGTGAATAAACTGAGCAATAAATTAGCAGTAGTAATTATATCGACCCTGTGCTGGAGTTATGTAATTTCTCATGGCTTAATTAGGACTGAGTAACTAAATGTTCCAATTCAAAACATGATCATCATGGGGATTTTTCTTTTTATACTTTAACCATTTTCTTAGCACAAAAAGAACACTCTGGTATTACAGAATTAATTACAGTTTGCTACATTATGAATGGCGTAGCCTATGTGCGTACATATTTTAAATACTTATATAGCATTATATAATATAATTCATATAATTACATAATAAAGTGTTTATATGTTCAAGGTCCAATTCAATTTAAGTATAGTAAATCAATTTAGGTAGAATAGTAATAATAATAATAATAATATATAATATATATATATATATATATATATATATATATATATATTAAATTGTGTTATTTCTTTCTTTTCTTTTTGTTATATATATATATATATATATATATATATAAATTGTGTTATTTTTTTCTTTTCTTTTGATATATAATACAAATTTCCAAATATACAAAAAAATATATACATACACATAAAAACATTTACTAAAACATTTCTTGAAATTGTTGTTAGAAAGTTTTGTGATTGAAAGTGCATTATGATAATTAAGGAACAAATTTCTTATTTTTTTATTGCTCACATTTATAATAAAGTGCACTGAACAAATCAATTACAATTAATTTTATCATATATCTCAATTACGCCGTGATGTGTTTTCCTTCTGAGTTTGAATGTGTGTGTGTGTGTGTGTGTGTGTGTGTGTGTGGGGGGGGGTGTTGTTTGGGGTTCACCTGTGGTAGATACAAGGGGTGGATGAGCTCCTACAGACCCTCATTCACATGTAATTAGTCTGCACAAAGGGCTCGTTAAATGTGTAATCCCACATGCCTCCTCTCCCTTTGATAGCGTTGGTCAGCTGTGAGCGAATGGCTATTATGCTCCTTATAAAAGAGGGGCAGTTCAGCTCTCTGTATTAAGACCCCCACTGTGCACAGCAAAACTGGGGTCAACAGCACCCCAAACACACATGCAGCACAAACACTGTCTCATCACATGTGTCATTAGATCAAACCCTGCAGTACCACCTGTATCTAAAATATTGCAGAGAAAGGGAATCTAAAGAGGTAAAAAGTAGTAAAATACTGATTAAAGCTCTTGATAAGCATTATGGCAAACATCACATTTTACAGAAGAAATATTTAAAATCGAAAACATTTTACATAAAATGAGTTTTATGTAAAAACTTGGCCAAATAGCATAACTAAACCATACAGTATACTCAATACACATGTAAAGCAATTCAACACTCTTAGAAGAAAAGGTTCCAGAACCTTAAGGTTCTATCAGGGCTACATATTTGGAACCCCTAAAAGGATACACTCTTAAAAAAAGGGTTCCTCTGGGTTCTATATAGAACCCTGGGGTTCCATACTTGGCCAATAGAACCTTTTACCAAAAAAAAAAATTGGAGTTCCATATATGAAGCGGGGGATGGAACAATTTCTGGTTCTAAATAGAACCATTTTTTTCTAAGAGTGAATATATTATTAAAAATATTTATAATAATACTTCTCTTCCTCGTTTTCTCTCACAGCCAGACCTAATATCTCCCCCTCATTTTTATTGGGTAGTTGTTTAAATATGCATACTTTTGAAGCCCAGCAGGGATGTCCATTATTGCAACAAAAATGCATTATTACATATATTTTTCACAAGGGTGTGTGATTTTAATGGTGTCATAATTTGAGCTCCTGCGTGCCTCTATCCCTTCTGAGCATTCAGATTTTAGCTCCATGTCTGATATTCTTCTAGCATTTGTGAGGATTATGTATTTTCTCCGTCTAATTGTGACAAACATTTGGCGCTGGTTCGGGTGAGTGGGGAAATGACATTGCATCATCAGATTAAGTAGGTAATCCAGAGGTGTCTGTGTGTCTGGCTTTGTGTGGGAGGATATAATGAACACACTAATTAGAGGGTATTATTTAGATAATGGGTGTAAATCTTTGTCTGAGTAGCTTAGGCGGTTATGATAAAACTGTAATGTGCAAATCCAAAGTCATTAAGATATTTAGTTGATTGTCCAAGATCTTTGGAAGGCGGCTAACTGATACCGCTGATTGATTCCCTTGTTCCCTGAACTTTTATGACTTGATGGGGGAAAAAAACTCAAGTCTCTTTCTCCTGTGCAGGAGTTTGGTAGTTTAATGGCTGATTGGATTTTACCGCCTTTGCAACAGACCATTAAAAATCCACATGGATGTTTTGCTCCTCTTGTATCCTGGTTTGTTCTACGAAGATGTGAGAGTATAAATATTCAACGCATTCTCACCCCAAGGCGTCACCTTTGACCATGCTTCAATATTTGACGTTTTAGGCGCCCTTTAGCGTCACTTACATGACGCGATCCTACGGCGTCATCTAACTGACGCTAAAGGAAAGCGTCAGTTAGAGGACGCGTTTAGGTTTAGGTGTGGGGTGGGGGTAGGGTACACGCGATCCTAGGGCGTCATCTAACTGACGCTAAAGGGCGCCTAAAGCGTCAGATATTGAAGCATGTCCAAATGCTTCCCAAGGCGTCAGTCAAGTGACGCCTTGGGGGTGAGAATGGGCTGAAATATAAGAGGTCATGCTGTCAGGGTCACTGTGGCTTTAAATTTTCTGACAAATATATACTGTATGCTTGAACCTCAGCATCACACATTTAACACTAAACTAGGGGAAAGCCTACTTGATTCTGATCGGTCAATATCGCCATCTGATATTTCTTAATATTCGTCATCGTTCATGGCAATGCTGTATCAGAAATCGACGTAACTGAAACAGATAATACAAACGTAAATAGCACTATATTGCATCTCAGTTAGAGATTGTCATGCAAATGACTTTACACACTTTACACTAAAAAATGCTGGGTTGTTTCAACCCAAATTTGGGTCAAATATGGTCAAACCTAAATGTTGGGTTAAAAATGTCATTTAAAATGTTAACCCAACTTCAACTTTCACTTTCAATGGTACATCTTTTAATTACATTTTTAACCCAACATTTGGGTTTGTCCATTTTTTTACCCAAATTTCGGTTGAAACTTTCAAATTATTCAAATTTTATTGTATTAAAACAAAGAATTATTAATACAAGTAAAATTATGAAATAAAATGATCTATAATAGTAGAATTATAAACCATGTTAAAACTCAATATTAACTCAAGATTTCATGTTCAAGGAAACATATGACTGTTCATCATCTTTTATATTCATATGAATTTCAGCACAATAATACTCTAAGGATATGTTAGAATCAATACAACATTTGAACTCTCCAAATGTATGATTCCAATTCTAGAACATAAAAGCAAGAATTACAGCATC